AAACCACTCCTACACCTGGTTGTGATTTTGTCCAGAATCCTGGCGCACATAGGTGAACGTTTGAATTCAGAAATCTCTCTGGAAGAAACATAACCGTCGTGACTGCTTAGGTTCTTCACATGACACAGAACACGGTGCCAGCAACACCGCTGCTAGTTTTAAAGGTCTCCTTTGCCCAGAGGAAAACAATGTACTTTCAACATACACAAAGGACAAGGGGAAATGGTTTTAAACTAGAACAAGGTAGGTTCAGGCTAGAGGTAAGGAAGAAATTTTTCACAATGAGGGTGGTAAAACACTGGAACAGGTTGCCCAGAGAGGTGGTGGAGGCCCCATCCCTGGAAGCATTCAAGGCCAGGTTGGATGGGGCTCTGAGCAACCTGATCTGGTTAGCGGTGTCCCTGCTCCTGCAGGGGGGTTGGACTAGATGACCACTAGTGGTCCCTTCCAACCCTAAACATTCTATGATTCTATGATTCTATGAAAGCACCCAGGCTGACTGCTACTCGGCGTTGAAACTGGCGCTTTTAATCTGTGAAAAAACCATACCTGGACTGCTATAGAGAGCTTACCTATAAATAGGAAATTAATTGTAGTCATTCCCTGTCACGCATGACAGTAGAGTCTCAGGGCGCGCCAGGATTTAACTGACACCCCGGCTCAGTCCCCAAACCCCACCAAGCCACCAGGGGTGAATCCGCTCTCACGTTAGCAGGCGCTGAGGACCACCCTCGGCCAGACGGGGGTTCTCCAGCCTCCTCGCTGGTTTCAAAAAAAAAGTGAATTCTTGCACTTGTGCGCATTTTTGTTGGTTCTGTGGCATTTAGGCAGCGAAAACTTCGGCAGGCGGTTTAAATTTCATGAGCCTGAACACGAGCGTAACCCGCAGGACTCGCAGAAAGGAAGAGGAGGCCGAAAACGCCAAGGGGAAAGGGGGGTTATTACAAAGGCGAGTCTCAAGGCCTTGCTTTGGTTTTTCCCGCCGGCTGCTTTGCACCGAGGCCCAGACGCACGGAGGAGACGCCTGAGCACGCCGGCGAG